CATGTGGAGATGGAATATTTTAGCTGTGATTGAAGTTTTGCTATGATTTGGTTTTGGATGAATCTTAAGGGAAAAAAAGGTACGGATGGTCAATCAAGAACAAAAACCAAACAAAGTTTCCACTTTGTTAGGCACATACTGCAGCCACATGTGGTCGAGGTTCGCAGGGTACTGGCTGTCACAGGCCACAAAGTCATTGATTTGAGTAACAGAAGATAAAATTACTTTTGTGGAAACTGGATTTTGACATTTAGTATCACTGGAAGGCATGTGACCTGCCCAGCTTTCACAGGAATCTTCTCTTCTCCCGGTGCTACAGGAACTCATTGTTTCAGTTGTTGTCCCTCAAGGCAATGATAGGCCAAATTCCTTGCTGCTTTAAGAACCACAGACTCATTTTGGCAGACTTGCACGAAAGATGAATATGGATTACTGACCTCTAGTTGCTGTGGACAGCTGTGAAAGGAATGATTGATTATCTGCTGCATTAGCAGCAGGAAAGAGACTGCAGGTCACTCTTTAGCTAAGTAGTACAATTTAGCTCTTAAAAAAAAACAAGCCAGATATGTGCAGTTTTTTACATCTCTTTAAAGAAGCGTTAGCCAAAGAGTGCATTTGAAAATACGAGATACAGGTTGTCACACAGGCTGAAGCTGGTGGTGTTCCTTACTATAATGTTGATACGCTACGCTTTTGAATTATATAATTTATTTCCATAACAGAAATGTGATCGTAGCTTGATTTGGAAGGCAATCAGCCCAGCAGTTTGTCACTGCGTCTTTAGGACTCCTTGCCAGTAGCAAACCAGCTGTCAAATCAAAGTTGTGTTTCTCCTAAATAAAACATTTTACATCTGAGAAGTTCAAAGCTGCTTTTTCAAATTATTTCACACAGAGTTCCATTCCTCACCATCTCTTCCCCTGAGCAAATACGGTTTCAACATTAGCAGTAAGTGTGTGTTACTAATGTGTGCCCTAGTTAGCTGGGATGTAAAAGAAGAGATCTATTGTTTTAAAATATCTTTTTTTTTTTTCCCCAAGGGGTATTACTTTCACCCTTTGTATCCTAAAATCCTCTGTGTACTCGCTGCTGGCAGATTTTATGTTTAAAGTGAGTAGCTAATGCCTAACTTGAAAATAAAGGATGAAATAAAATAGACTTGCAACTTCAGCAAAGGAGCTATGCAGGTAGGAGGAGAGTGCTGGACACGCGTTCTTAGCCAAGCATCCTGTGCTGGGAAGCTGCTGTAATTTAGATGCTCATACGTAAGTAGTCAGTCTCCGGGCAGCTTGTCCTCTGTCCTAACTTCGCTTTGACTGCACTATTGGGGTCACTTTACAGTGCAGTTGACTGATTTCGTTCCTTATTTTTATATAAACTTTAAATTTAAATTCTAAACAAATCTGCAAATAGCAAAAGACGACTGGTGTTTCACCAGTTATTCAGATTATTGAACTTTTGGGTCAACCATCTAAAAATCCAAAGGAATGTGTATTTGTTTCCTGAAAGAAAAACTTGTTATTACATTTTATAGTCTAAAAGATTATTTGTTTTAATTAACAATGAAAAAAGTTTATGTCTTCATCATGCAGTAACTTGTTAACTACTCGAGCCTCCTTTGCAAGTTTGGATACAATGGGATGTTTCATGGTCTCGATCTGCATGTCGATAACAGGGGTTTGCATGTAGATCAAAAGAACGATACAGCCCTGCGTTGTCAGAACTCCGCCACAGCATCCAGCAAACGCTTATTTGGAAGGCAACGCTTGGCTTCCCTCCAAAGGCTTAATTCTAACAATCAGCTCAAAACCAGCCTACCACCTACCACTTTTCCCATTAATACGTTTGCGCGAACAGAGCTACCTTTGACCTCTCCCAATTTGTTTTGTTGCAGTAAACACCTGAAATTTGCTCAGCTAATACAATAGCCCTGTACTTTTTGACAAAAACGCCTGTGGTTAACCTCTGTGGGCTGCATTCTGCAATGAAATGAAGGGTAGTAGAAGTTAAACAATGGGTGTGACTACCACAAGATGAGTGTTAGTGGGAAAGTGGTGTAACATCCACTTAGCATTCCAGAGATGTGAAATGTAATTATGATTTAAATGCCAAAGATGTAAGTTGCAAGATGAGTAACTACAAGGACATGAAAGCCTCCCTTATCTTCCTTTCTGTCCCACTCAGAATCATTTTGCACACCCACAAAACTAATACAAGTAGTGTCACTTGATGAAATCGCACCTGATACGTGACTTGTACTGTCACTTACATTTCTGTTGGTGTGGGCTCTGTTTATACCAAAGAAAAAAAATTCCAATCTCATTTACAACATTGTAAGTTAGAAGTAATTTTGCTCTCTGTGGAATTATTCCCTATTTACACTCCCACTGAGATGAGAATCTGACCCAGGCTTTGATTTTTGTCCTACTTGCTGTCATCTTTTCCCGTGATAGAGGGGGGGTCCTCTATTTGTGAAGGGCTCCTCGCACCTTCATTACCTATCTTGCCAAAATTGTTTATGAGCAGGTCTGTAATGTTAGAAATAATTGACTAAAATGAGCCACGGGACCAGCTGGTTGCTGAGTATATATGAAAAGCTGCTTAATGCCTTTTACATCATCTAGCATATGTGGGAAGGAGAGCAAAAAGTGCAGCCCGTACCTAGATGAGAGGCTACACAGTTCTGTATCAATTCCAACGCTAAGAAATTAAAGAAAAAATAAGTTCTAGGTGGGGAAAAATAATTGTTGGTTCTAAACTTTTAAACAAAATCTTTATAAACAGATTCTTAGTATGTTTCAAATCCAGAAGCTACAGGTGTGATTACAGCTCTGAGCGAAGGGCGTGCATTGTCCCACATTGTGGCCTTGGAAATTGTCTGATGCATAGATCAAATTTTAAAGCTGTATTTCAAAGATTTTTTCCTCCAACATTATTCCTCTTATTTTCTTTATGGATTACATGAAAACCCAAGTTGAAAGTTTCTAGTGCAGTACTACCTTTTATTAGCTGTCAGCAGGGAACAGAGAGCATTACCAGCTCCACCCAAGGTGACACCTTCAAATAAAAGCCGAGGGGTGAGGCCAGGAGGGGCTCTAGGTGAGGACGTGATTTGGAACTCAGCTTGTGCTAGGTCAGCCCTTGTAATTGCACTGTTTATTTTCTGTACAAAATACGCACTCGACAGAGGGAAGCAGTGATTTTTCAGAGACACATACATGCGTAGCTTTGTGTATGACTGATTTTCTTGCCTGAAATGGAGCTGTAGAGTGGATGAAGTGAAGCATTTATTCCAAAGTGTTTAACGAGCTGCAACTACCTAGCTGTTTTATGGTGGATATTTGTTTCCTAGAAATACCATAAACCTTTACTAGAAATATTTTCTGCTAGGTAGGACGAATCATTTTCCTATCTGGGGGAGAAATATATGATTGGTTAAACGTTTTAAAATACAAATAGCAAAATAAAAATGTACTCTCAAGGATCAAAGAAAAAACGTTGTATGTGTACTTCTTAAGATCCCTGAGTTTATGAAAGAACAAAAAGTCTTTAGATCATAGCGACGCTTAAGACAAAAAAGGTTTCGGACTTTTTAGCAAAAAGAACTATGGGCCAAACGCTGTCTTGAGGTTAGCATCTGTAACTGACTTTGGAGAGGAAGAAACGCTGTGACTGAAGCCACGGGAGGACCCTACTGAAACATTAGTGGAGGTCAGCTGCTGTGGTTGAGGCAGCCACTTGAGAACTGGATGGCCTGAGAAGACTTTGGTTCAAAACCCTCTTCTACTCTCCACAATAACAGGAATTGCCACAGACAGCAAGGAGATGAGCCACACTGCCAAACATTCCGCAGTAATTTGGGTGCGTGT